GCTTGAGTAGCTGCTTGACGGGCTGGCCGGTTCTGACCATGATTGTGTGGGGCAGGAATTAATTTTGTAGCCTTCTGGCTGCGATGATGAGGTCCATAGCGAACTTCTCGATCTGCTGGTATCTGAGCTCGGGGCCTTGGAGGGCTTTTCTCGTGAAGCATATTGGCTTCTGCCCTTCGGGGGTTTTGCGTATCAGCGCTACACTTACGGCCTCGATCGCGACGACAAGGTACAGGTACAAGGTTTCTCCGACCTCGTGCCTCGATAGTAGCGGTGGTTCTGAGAGGACTTGTTTGAGGTGGATGAGGGACTTCTCTCACTCCTCGATCCATTTGAATGCGGCCTCCTTGCGCAGAAGCTTGAAGAAGGGGAGGGCGTGCTGGGAAGACTTAGCGGTGAAATGTGATAATGACGCAAGCATCCTGTTTAGGGACTGGATGGACTTCTTTGTGTTCGACGTGGAGAACTCGGAGAAAGCCCTGCACTTGTCTGGATTTGCCTCTATTCCTCGTTCCGTTAGGTAGAACCCGAGGAATTTTCCTGCCTGTACGCCGAAGGTGCACTTCTCAGGGTTAAACCTCATTCTGCACTTCCTCGCCGTCTCAAAGACCTTATTGAGATGGGTGGTGTGGTTGACCTCTTCTCGTGATTTCACGATCATGTCGTCCATGTAGACTTCGAGCATGTCCCTGATTTCTTCCCAAAATACCTTGTTCATCATCCGCTGATAGGTCGCGCCGACGTTCTTTAAACTGAGGGGCATTACGTTGTAGTAATAATTTCCCGACTCAGCCATGAAGGTCATGTATTGTTTATTGGCCTTCACCATGGGGATTTGATTATATCCCGAGTATGCGTCCATAAATGACAACAGTTTAGAACCTGCAGAATTATCGAAGAGTTTGTCGATGTTAGGTAATGAGTAATCATCTTTGGGACATGCCCAGTTGAGATCAGTATAGTCAACACACATCTTTCATTTTCCATTATGTTTTTTAACTAGTACAACATTGGACAATCAGGTTGTGTACTGGGCTTCCGATATAAAATTTTCCTCTAGGAGGTCTTTTACATCTTTTTTCAGCAACCTTCGCTTTCTCAGGAGACTGCCTACGCCTACGTTGAACTACAACCCTTTCGGTCGGGTCTATAGGGAATCGGCTGTCGAGGTCGGCGGAGTTGACGCGGGGTAGTGGCTTCTGCTTCGCAACTCGGGCTTATTTGTAGGCCGTCTTGAGGGTGATATTGATTGAGTTGAGGCCTTTGATTTCTGCCCCAAAACATCTCTTGGCCGCCTAAATGTCCTCGTGGAGGGTGACGACTCGTCCTCTAGTCGTGTAGTACTTCATCTTCAGGTGCACTGTAGATGGTACTGCGATCAGTTCAGCTAAAGTCGTCCTTCCCATTATACATTGGTATAGAGAAGGGCACTCGATCACCAAAAAGTGGACCTTTACTTGCCTGGAGATCTCCTCGGCTCCGAATGTGACGAGCAACTCCACGTATCCCCAAGGTCTCGTGGTGGTGTCGTTGAAGCCCTGTAGGTCGGAGCCGACATACGGGGTCCGGTGGCTCTCGTCGAGCTAGAGGGTCGTAAACAAATGGGCATATATTATGTCCACCGAACTCCCTTGGTCGAATGGGATTCGACGCACGTCGAAGTTTTCCATTCGGGCCCTGATCAAGAGGGGGATGCTGGAGTTGGGCGCACCCCTAGGGAGATCCTCGAGGTAGAAGGTAATCGGGTTCGATTGACCTTTAAACTTGTCAAGGGTAGCATTCGTCTTCGAGCTTTTGTTGATCAGCTCGTCGAACTTTCTCTTGACCGACCCGACTGAGAGCTTGTTGGGCCCCTGCCAGATATGACTAAGGTGGCGGGGAAATCCTCCTAAGGACTACGGGCAGACAACGATGTGTTGGACTTGCCCGGAAGGAAGAAGTCTTCTGGCCGAGAGACACATAGGGCAGCCTGCAGTCCGGCTTCTCCAAAGGGAGGTGATACCTTCTCGACCCTTTTGGCCTCGCAGGTCTCCTGTCGAGGAGCCTCGTTTCTTCGGGTGTACTATTTCAAGTGCCCCTCCTTGATCAGGATCTCGATTGCATCCTTGAGGTGGATGCATTCTTCCGTGACATGTCCATGACTCCGGTGGAATCGACAATATTTGGATTTGTCGATGTTGGGTTTGGGGGGTGTCGGTTTCAGAAAACGGACACCATATCTCTGAAATTCAGATTTAATACATTCTGCCTGGATGCGCTCGTGGGAAGCTGTGAGTAGCATGTACTTAGTGAACCGGCCTGCTGGCTCTCTCTGTTCTCGGGGTGACATCCTCGTGTTTGGTGCCCTTGATGCCTTCTCGATTCCGCGTGTCACGGGCATCGTGGGAAGCCTCTATTTCCTCATACTAGATGTATGATTGGGCCTCGAGGAAGAGAGCATTCAATGTGCGAGGCCGTTTGATCCTGAAGGCCTTGGAGAAATCGATGCGAGGACGCAGTTCTCGCTCGATCAAGAATTTATTCATATCGTCTGAGGTGGCCGCCTAGATAGCTTCTCGGTTGAACCTCTCCATGTAATATCAAAAAGGTTCGTTCTTTCCCTGGATGATGGCTTCCAGGGCTGCCTCTGTCTTTGGATGGCGCTGGGAAGCTGTGAAGTGCTTGGAGAACTGCCTCTTCATTTCGCCCCAGGAGGTGATGGACTCGAGCGCAAGACGATTGTACCACGACATGGCACATTTCCTCAGGAGGGTGGGGAAAAGCCTGCACTTGATGGCTCCCTGTACGTTTCGATAGTCGAGCATCGCATCGATGCTTTCTATATAGTCGTCTGAGTCGGTTGTGCCATCGTATGTCGCCAAGGGTAGGGGTTTTCCATCCCGACAGATAGTGGAGTCTCCCTAATGGCCCTAGACAGTGGTGAGCGTTGGTCGTCCTCGTCGCTCCTGACAAGTGACCGTGAAGGAGAGATTAATCCCCGTTTTCTTCTGTTTCGTCGAGGAAGACTCCTCGACCGACCTTTTGGCTTCTCGGCGCCCTCTTCAGGTTTGCTCCTCTTTTGAGTGGGGGAGCGTCGCTCCTTTCAAGGAGGTGATCGGCCACACTTCTGGGAGGCAATTGGTTGTGTTCGCTCCAAGCGAGGACGACGTCCAGTCAGTCGGGGAGAAGGACTCCGAGAGTCGTCTTGTTGTGTCTTCCGCGGGGGAGGAGAGGGGCTACTAGAAACTGGGCGACAATATCTCTATGGGGGAGAGTGTGATTGTCGCTTCTTCTCGAACATCCATATCCGCTCGTTCTGTTGGAAGATCATCAAATTGATTTGGTTGATCGCCTCGAACAGAGCCAGCATGGTAGGGTCGGCGTTGGGTGGCACCAGAATGGGCTGGTAGATAGTCGGGCTACCGAAGCGTCGGGCGGCGTTGAAGGCAGCGTCTTCTGAGGAGGGAAAGGCGGTGTGCCTGTCCCTGTAGTTGCCCTCGTCAACGTGAACGGTCACGTTGGGGTCGTGGCCGTCATCGTTGGTGAATGAAACGAAGGCGGTTTCCGTCATTGTGTGGGCTGGCCATGATCAAACGGAAGTTGAAAGTTGCTTTGGTTCTTGAGCTTCTATGCTTGGATAGGAGAAAGAACGGGGAAGCAAAGGGTTCCCATAGACGGCGCCACTGATCTCACCAGATCAGAAAGAAATCAGCGGTCTGCCATGCGTCGTGAGCTCCTGTGTTCACCGGTGTTGATGAGGAGGAAGGGTGTACCTGCAAGTTACTCCGATGCCTAAGTGAGTAGCGAAGTCTTAAAAAAGCAAGTACATAGAGATTAGGTTTGTAGAATGGAATACCTAACCCTCTAGTAAAAAAAGGTATTTATAATGTACCCCCAGCGCAGGGCCAACAGTTACATTGCATTAGGCCGGATTGTCAAGCCCAACACAAGTAACTGTCAGGGCTTACGTGACATAAGGAAAACCAACACGTGGTCTTTGCCCTGGATCAACTGCCCCATATCTTTGGAAGGTGGGTTGGCCATCTCTTTCGGAAGTGGGTAGTTGCCTGATGACATGTCTCCGCGCGGGGGACACGTGGGGAACGTGGGGGAGACGCGTGAGTTCTCCCCTTGCTAGGTAGTGGTCTGCCCGACTAAGGGGCCTTGTTGGGCCTCCCCAACGTAGTATTAGATTGAGTCCGCCTGACTGTGGGGCAGGTCTCGGTCCAGTCCAGAACAATATTTAAAAAAAAAAATTGATATCCACATATTTTTATATAATAATATAAATGACAATATATAAATATATATTATGCAAATATAAGACGAGTTGGGTACTAAAGCATTCATACCCGCACTCATACACAATTATTTTAGTAGATATTTACTTGTACAAATGCCTGAATCCATTTTACAGGTTTTTATCCTATCCACGTCCGGATTCATTTTGCAAATTTTTATCCTACCCATTATCCATTGTAGGTATTTTTTGCAAATACCGATAGTAAGAATGAGCTAAATTGCCACCCCAACCAACTCATAATAAGTCTATTTGTAAAAAAAATATCATAATCGTTTAGGTATATTTATATTTTTCAATTTTCTACTTCACATAATAAAACACTATTCAAATTTTAACAAAGATATTAAAAGTGTTCTCACTTCAAAAGTTAACTTTATATCCTACACATACAACATTAGCATATGTACTGAAAAGATACAACTCGTTTGACCATAAATAAACTTAAATAGTAATTATATTTCTAGATTCGAAATAGAAAAACTAAACATGAAACATTGGTTACAATGCATCATTTATTTTTCAATATGATAGGCAAGCCCCAATATAATATAAATGAAAGAAGCCTCTTCAACACAGATAAATAATTTATGTCAAAATTCTTTTACATATAATGTATCATTGGTAATGTTTTTCATCATCTTCATTTTCCTTCTGTATAACTGCCTGTAAACTTTAACAAGAACTTGAAAAATTGATTAAACAATAACAACACTACTCTTCAGCTACCTTCATTTTCTCTCTTAACAGGATCTGAGCTCACAACTGGAAGATTTCTTCGGTACTGCTGAGATGTCAATCTCCTTTCCATTGGCGTTTTCCTCTTACTCACAACAAATCTGTTCACCCCTTTACGCATAGGCATTATTGAAGGAAAATCTTCGTCTGGAATCTGACTGAGCTCTGAGATATCCTTTATCTGTGCAACGCGACGAAACCACCTCTCTGCCTTCGCCTCTTCTGACATGTCCAAGGGATCAGGTTCTCTGACCGCTGACCCCTCTAAAGTCTTCCCTGTCCATTCTGTTCCAACACTCTGGTTCTCAGATGCCGAGCCTGCGGATGACTTCTCTGTCAAATTTGGCACACTATCTTGACTGGAACCCTGGTTTGAATTTCCACTGCTTGTAGCCCCATAGCTAGAGCTAACATTATTATTATTTGAACTCTGATCAAAAGAAGGTTCTGGCCTCTGTTCAGGTCTAGCTCTAGCATCACTCGATATCTCAGACGGTTCAGGTATTGAGGATGATTCAACATTAGACCTATCTGTTGAGTCTGTTCCATCTGCCTGTGGCTTGTCCTTTTTGGCAAAGTAATCTGGTGGGAAGGGTACAAAAGGGACGAAGTTGGTATTGCCAGATTGCTCCATGGCCAAACGTCTCTTATATGCCGGTGTTGTCAAGGACCGGTCTTTTTTCTTGCTAACAACAAATCTGTTTTCTCCTTTACGCATTGGCATTATTTCAGGGAAATCATCATCGGATATTGCACTTGTTATATCTGGAACATCATTCAGCTCCGCAATCTTTCTAAACCATCTATCAGATTTTTCAGCTTGCTCTTTCTCCTTATCCTTAATGGTATTTTCACTTGAAGAATTATTAGAAAGTTGCGTACTGTCAGTGTCACCAGAACTTGCATATGATGGAAAGGGGGGAGGAGGAGTAGTGTTGCTCCCTTTAACATCGTTGAAATGGGAAGTATTGCTAGCAATTGAAGGTGACCTTTCTCTACTAAAATGTTGTTCAGCACCAGTATTTTTATAGTCCGATTGATGAAGGCCAGTTGAACGATCTAGAATATCATCCAGAGTATTGTTGGACTTGACTGATTCCCCAGATCTAAAATCCTCAATTCCAGGAGTGTCGTTATTTCCCAAGTTTCTCTTGTATTGAGAATTTGTCAACCTCCTCTCTAATGGAGTTTTCCTTGTGCTTACAACAAATCTATTAACACCTTTCCTTAAGGGCATTATTTCCGGAAAATCTTCATCGTCTACCACACTGTTAATATCAGAATTGTTATCCAGTTGAGAAACCTTGTTAAACCATCGTTGTGCCTTTTCTTCATTAGCGGCTAACCTAGCATCAATATTTGAAGGATTAGAATTGTTTCCATTACCATACCCTGGATGTGACGTGGTATTGGTGGAACCCAAAGGTATTTGTCCAGGCCGCTTGCAATCACACCGTAAGCAAGTTACATTCCTCCGATAATTATGGAAATCACACCTTGAAAACGAAAAACATGTTAATTGGATGTCTACATCAAAGGTTAGAAGGAAAAAGATTCAGGGGGAGGAAAATACTTACTGAGGACATTCCCATTCTCCTCCAGTCAGTTGTCTTTTTGGCCTTGCTTCCTCACATTCAAGACATTTAATATTTCTTGCAAAATTCATAAAATTACACCTGCTCAATATTAGAAAAAGGGAATGTTAACTCTCATCAGAACATTACTAGTATGTAATACTTGTACGACAAAATTAACCCATCATTTGCTTTACAATCACCTTGGGACTTAATGAAAAAGTTGAAAATTTTACAAAATTACCTTGTGCAAATCCAATCACCCTTTTTCATTTCAATGTTTTGTCCATGAGGCATTGTACGTCCAAGTCTACCAGCCGGAATTTGATTTTGCACCGAATCAAAAGAGTTAGGTCCAGGTGCACTATAGCTCAGCTTGAAAAGTTCACCAAATAGGTTTCGGACAGAGGGTTCAACAAGATTTCTGTTATAGAGACTGTTGCTTTCTGAAGGGACCGAGCAGTTACTTGCATAACTCAGCAGAAATTTCATTAGATCAACCATATTAGCTTTATGAGTGTCCAAGGCCTACATATCAAGCACAAATCAGAAAGCTCTTAAATAAACTGGTCAAAATCTGAAATTGAGTGTTAAGACACGAAAGGTGTTACATTCCAGACAATATGCATATTGTTTCTCAAATAGTTTAATATGGTGAGAAATTATAAACAGATATTCAGGATTTCAGGCAATTTCCACTTTTTTTTTTGTTTCTTTAGACCCAAGACAAAAGTGAATTTAAGAAAAGGTTACATGGTCAGAATCTTTTCCAATATTTCAGCAAATAGGAATCAAACCAAAAGCTCAGAATCTGAAATCATGAATTTAGGGTAGATTTCCCCCCATTTATTCATTCATTTGTTTCAATTATTCAAACAATTACTCAGTACTCACGATCCCATCCCACCCATCCCACCCAACACTGAGAGAAAGAAAAAAAACTAATACAGTATTGTAAGGTATGAACATATATATGAGAAGTTAGCAAAATAGAAGAATATAGCAGTAGATAATACTAACAGTGGAGTCACCGTTGGATACAAACGACTTCATCTTCGAAACGGAATCCTCAGAGTCTGGAAACAGAAAGGGGTTGCCATGTTCAACCACAATCGCAACGTCTCTCATAGAAAGCAACCTATTGAAATCAATTTAAATTCAATGAGAAAAAGAACAAAAATCATTGAGCAAAAGAGTGAAATTTGGAAACACAAACCTGAGAAGGTTGGGTCTATCTCGAGCGAAAGCCAAGCAGGAACTGACCTCGTCCCGCGACAATCCGGCAGGGGGAAGAAAGGAATCGGCGGCAGGAATAGTGGATGTGTAGCCGGCGGAGGAGATATGTGCGAGAAATCTGGAAAATTCGGGCCATGGGTGGGTTTCACCGAGGGAAGATGAAGGTTGAGAGTGAAAGTGTTGGGAGGCTTTGGGTTTGAGTTTGAGTTTGGGAGTGAGTGAAGGAGAAGGAGAATGAGAATGAGTGAGTGAGGAAAAGGGAGAGGAAATGGAAGAAAAGATGGCGCGGTGGTGGTGGCGGAAGTGAGAAGAGAAAGAGGGAGGGAGGAGGCGGAGGTTGTGGCGGAGGATGAAGATGAACCTTGGGGCGGCGGCGGTCATTTTAGTCGGAGGATGAGAATCGGTTGGTGGCCGAAGCTGCTACTCAATTACTTACACTGTGAAGTTTTAGGGCCATGATCCACTGCAGTTGAATAACTGGTGCAGTCATTGTCAAAGGTTTAACCACCATTAGATCTGTTATCCATCAATTTTTCACCCTTAGATAGCTTTATCTCAAAAAATAAAATAAAAAACACGTCTAGAGAGTTGTAGAGACTAGAGAGGGGTGACTGCGCAGGGAATCAATTTACGAAGTTTTACGACCAAAGCACAAAATTTGTCCATTATTTTTAGAATTGATTTTAGTTTTAAATTTAGTTTATTTTTTAACCTCTTCCTTTAATTTAATTCAATATTTTGTGTTAATCAATTAACTAAAAATATAGTATAAGTTGATTTCTTAATTTCATTTCCATTATTCTATTTGCTCTGTTTTATTAACTTTTAACAAAAAAAACACTAAATTCTAATGAGGCGTGAGACTAAAATTATTGGTACAAATTCAAATTAGCCTATGTAACATTGTTTAAACAACCAACTTTTTGTTTTAGTAAAAACCCTACAATTAAAATAATGTATGAGCATTGAATTACATATGTTGTTTTAGTAAAAACCCTACAATTTAAATAATGTATGAGCATTGAATTACATATGCTGACTTAATTTTGTACCAATATATTTTATGGTATATAAAAATGGTCAATTTATGAACCACTTATTTGATGGTTCACTCTAAATGTAACTGTATTTTATTATTTTAGTATTTATAATTTAGAATATTAAAAATACTTTAATTTGCATATATTATTTAAAATATTTAAAACATGTGTATAAAAAATTTTGTGATTTTTTTATTTTATTATTTGTAATATAATTTAAAATTAGAAAAATAAATATTTTTATTAAAAAAAAAAGATTTTACTAAATAGATTGTTGCGAGGTGAAGATATCCGAATCTAATCCTGAATATATTTGAGACGAATTTGAGTTTTAATTCTTCATTTCCAATAAATGTATTTGAAGAAATGATGGTGACCGTGAAAAGGGGACGAGGGCGGCCGAAAGCTACGGTGCCACCGTCACTTGAAACTCTTACCAGCTTGAAAACACCATAACGTGAATCAAGAAACACCAGTGTTGCTGGTCAGACTTCGGGGAACGCTTCAAGAACCACCATTGGAGAAGACAAAGCTATGACAAATACCTTGGTAAGGGAGAACAAGGAAACCCTAACCAACACAACCACAACCTAAAGAGCGTAAACCATGGGTTGATGTGATAAATGACAACCGGAACCCTGCAAGAGGAATGGCTATCGAGTACGTTGCGCCAAAGCTCATCAACGGAGTGTTTGAAATAGACATTGAACAAGAAGACATCGAAACGGAAATACAATTTTGGGATAATGCTCTAATCCTTTATGTTGTGGGTTATGACTTGAGTATGAACACGGTGAAGAACTTTATGCAGAGAATGTGGAATTTCGTGAAGATGTCAGATCTGTATTACCACGATGATGGTTATTTTCTGATCAGATTTAGCTCTCAAGAAGACAAGGAAACAATTATGATGAAAGGACCATACACGATTCGAAACATGCCCATGATCTTGAAGGAATGACAAACTGGTTTCAATTTGAAGGAGGATCTATTGAGAACTTTACCAATTTGGGTCAAACTTCCCCAACTTCCCTTGCATCTATGGGGGGGCAAAAGTCTCAGCAAAATTGGAAGTGCTATTGGCAAACCATTGGTGACTGATGAATGCACTGCAAATAAGCTTCGTGTCTCATATGCAAGATTATTGATTGAGGTAGACATTACTCAACTTTTGATAGATGAAATAACCATTAGGAATGTTGAAGGAGATATAATAATGCAGCCTGTGAACTATGAATGGAGACCAAAATTCTGCGAAAGATGTCAAAAAATAGGGCACAAGTGCGAAGATCGTGGGAAGAAGCAACAATGGAAACCAAAACTTAAGCCGCCAGAAATGTCCATAAACATAACACCTGTTAAACCACTAGAAATAGAGGACAAAACAGAAGTAGGAAGGGATTCTTGGACAAGAGCACGAAAGTCTGTAAGGGATAAAGGTAAAAACATAGTTACTGATACAAACAGCAGCATCAATTGTAACAATGGTTTTGAGGCACTTGAGGTTTTGAATGACCATCAAGTGACCATCAACCTTGAACCATGTTAGTATCTTGGAACATAAGGGGACTCAATAAAGTAGGCAAAATTCGTGAGATTCGGTCCCATCTCCAAGAGCTAAAGTCTGCTAACATTATTCTGATTGAAACCAAAGTAAAAGAAGATAAAGCCAAGAACATTCGAGAGAAACTAATGATATATGGAAATCATATTGACAATTACAAGGACCATCCAAATGGTGGAATCTGGATCCACTGGGATAAGAACAGGGTAAATGTGCAATTCATTCGAAGTAGCAGCCAATATATCCACTGTGGTATCTATGATAACTGTGGAGTTCTCAAGCACTGGCTAACCGCAGTTTACGCTCATAACCATTTAAATCAAAGGAAAATCTTGTGGACAGACATTGAACACATTTCTGTTGGCATCCAAGGGCCTTGGTGTGTTATTGGTGATTACAACAATGTAATCAAATCCCAAGACAGAATATGTGGGAATTTAGTGACTGAAAGAGAATACGTTGATTTGACAAATATGATGGAAAACACTGGCCTAAATGAAATGGACAACATTGGGGATCATTTCACCTAGTCCAATAAACAAACAGCTGGTCCCATTTACTCTAGAATTGATAGAGTGTTAGGCAATACTGATTGGTTCCTCACTAATTTGGAGACTACTCTTAAAATCCTTCCTCCTAATATCTCTGATCATGCCATGTTGTATCTGGTTTATAGCCAAAATCAGAGGAAATCCCCCAGACATTTTAAATTCAGCAACTGCATTACTGATATGCCTGGCTATGACACTTTGGTTAAGAAGAATTGGGATGGCCTCCTTAGAGGTGGTCCAATGTTTGTTCTTTGGCACAAACTCAAAAGATTGAAACAGGAATTACAACAATTCAACAAACCTATATCTGATGTTAAGACCAAATTGGCTTCTGCTAGAACTACCCTGAAAGAAATCCAAGAGCAGCTGAGGAGTGACAAATTGAACAACAATTTGATTTTGAAAGCAAAAGATCTGACTGAAGATATCATAGCCCTGAATGAAATGGATTGGAAGATTCTGCAACAAAGAGAAAAGATTGATTGGATTAAAAAGGGAGATGGCAACAATCAGTACTTCTATGCTGCTATCAAGGCCAGACATCATTCCAATTGTCTTAACAACCTGAAGAAGAGAGATGACAGTCAGACCACATCCAAATCAGACATTGAAGAGGAGGTGCTTAATTTCTACAGCAACTTAATGGGCAAAGATGCTTAAAATATCAATCACATTGATATTGAGACCATGAGGATGGGGAAACAACTTGACATTCACCAAAGGGAATACCTTATCAAACCTATATCAGAAAATGACATTACTACAAATCTTAAGGGAATTGGAGACCTCAAAGCACCAGGCTTGGATGGATTTGGAGCCAAGTTTTTTAAAATGAGATGGACAACTATAAGAGAAGATGTGATAGCAGCTGTTAAGGAATACTTTGAAACAGGAAAAATCTACAAAGCTTTCAACAACGTTGTAGTGTCCTTGATTCCTAAAGGACAAAATGCTTCTGAAATCCAAGATTACAGACCTATAGCTATCTGCACCACTTTCTACAAGATTATTTCAAAGATTCGGACCAACAGATTAGGAGCTGTCATTCCTAGTGTGGTAAACCATAATCAAGCAGCTTTCGTACCAGGTCAGAACATCCATCGGCACATCATGCTTGCTACTGAATTGCTTAAGGGTTATAATAGGAAATGAGACATTCTTAGAATCATGATTCAATTAGATCTGCAAAAAGCTTATGATATGGTTAATTGGAAGGCTTTAGAGTGCATCATGAAGGAGATGGGATTCCCTAACAAACTCATTCGTTGGATTATGCTGGGCATCACCACTGTATCTTATAGATTTAACATCATGGGAGAGTACACTGATATTCTGCAGGCCAAAAGGGGAATTCGTCAGGGTGATCCTCTATCACCTATGTTATTTGTTCTCATAATGGAGTATATGAACAGATTGTTGATGAAAATGCAAAGAGACCCTAATTTTAACTACCATGCCAAATGCGAAAAGTTGAAAATCACCAACCTTACTTTTGCTGATGATGTTCTATTATTCTGCAGAGGTGATGAGATCTCTTTACATATGATTCTTCAAACTTTCAGGGCCTTCTCCATGTCCACAGGGTTAATTATGAATCCTAACAAATGCAGGATTTATTTTGGAGGTCTAGACAAAGAGAAGAGAAAGGTTCTGAAAGAGATGTCTGATTTCCAAGAAGGTACGCTTCTATTCCGATATCTCGGTATACCTCTGATTGGCAGGAAACTAAACATCACTCATTTTATGCCCTTGGTGGATAGAATAGTGGCTAGAATCCACCATTGATCTTCAAAGCTTTTAAGTTATGTCGGCAGAATTCAATTGGTGAAAAGTATAACAACTGCAATGGTTCAATACTAGTTGCACTGTCTTCCTATGCCCAAAACTGTGATCAAGAAGATTGACTCCATCTGTCGCAGTTTCATCTGGACCGACAAAGATACAGTGAGCAGAAAGTGTCCTGTGGCTTGGAAACACATGAGTTGTCCTACTGCTCAAGGTGGTTTGAACCTGACAAATCTGCAGATTTGGAACAATGTCCTACTCTTAAAATGCTTATGGAATCTGTGCAAAAAATCTGATTCTGTGCGTGAAATGGATTCATATTCATTACTTTAAAGACAAGCAGGTCATGAATTATGAAACCAAAACTCAAAGCTCTTGGATCATGCGCAGCATTTTGAAGCAAAGGGATACCATGGATCTAATTAGGAACGAATGGGATCA